ATCAAAGAGCAATGGTACCCCAATCCCTTAACCTAATTATGGTTGAATATTATCTATTATTTGTATTACAAACAATCGTTATCTAAACATTATTAAGCACTTAGATCCAATTCAATTGTACCTGTTTATGTTTTTCGTAATAGATTTCTTGAGTTAAATAACATTTTGTTACTTTTAACTTCCATGTATGCCAAAATTTAAATCAATCCATTTTTGTAGTTAGTAAACAATGTCTACATTAATATATATGCACTTAGTAAATAATAAACTAACGTTAAATTTAATACATCTTGATTTAAATTGTTCAATTCCATTGTTTTAATTAAATTAACAACAAATTGAATAGGAGCAGTGGCGACCTATACAAATGATTAAAAAATAATTCAAATATGGTTTAATTTGATATTATGAATTTGACAGGGTACACACTGAGAGAAAAATATCGAAGTATTGCGAAGCAAATATTACTTATGAAATTTGATTGTGATAACGAAATATACATTTCTGTGAAATATACTTCATTTTTGTGAAATATATCTCATTAATTGCAAAAAAATAAAATAGATGGCTTATTTGCTAGGAATAAAATTTTATTTCGCCGGTATTTAAATAAATATTTATTTCAGTGAAATAAATATATTTCTCACAAATATATTTTTAGACATTTTTTCTCATTGTCAGTATTTAAAGAGAATAAATTAAGAAAAATAAGATCTTTAAATTATTAAAAATAAAACTAAAAAGAATTTTGTAGCCCCAAGAATAAATCAAATATAAATAAAATGCCTATATGAGCATCCGCGGTTATTGCTACACAAATTGGATATAATTTGATATTATGAATTTAATAGTGAAAGAAATCTAATCACCCGCTTATTTGACTACAAATGATAAACGTCTAAAAAATGCGCATAAATCCCAGTAATGTCAAACGGAAGTCGTAACGAGGAAAAGTAAGTAGGAGAAATCGTTGTACATGACGAGCTCGCGTGACGGGGAGAGAAACAGAAATCACGATCTTCGTATCGCGTGCTTTTTGAATTCGCATTTGCTATTTTTTGCAGCGCCAAGTACATGTCGTGCATGGAGCGTAACCTTAGGAGACACATTCAGAACATTCAAATTATTCCGAACCAAGCCGTTATATTCTTGCTTTGAATGCATTGCAAAAGGACCCTTAAGTTTTCGTTATTTATTATCATCGCCGATATCAGGCGATATTTAAAATGCAAATTACTCTCGCGTTTGTAGACTATCGTAATACGCATTTAATTATTCCTGGCGTTATCAGATGCTGGATTAAAGCGGAGCATTATATGTGTCAGAAATATCTTGTAATTAGAATACGAATGCGATTAATGCTATCGTGTTTTAAACGCGAGTAAGCCCGCGAGCCAATATTGAATAAAGATAATCCGTTGCAATAAATCGAGCTATTTTTATCGATTTTAGCTTTAGTATAAGAACAGTCTACTTTACATTACAATATCGTTATAATATATCCATTAACATAATAAATTCCATAAAGTTCAACGCAATATAAAATTTACATATTTTTGAAATAATTAAATAATAATTAGTTTTGCGTTTACGTTTGCTCGTTGTACATGAATTACAGTAAAATATTAGTATATTATATGGTCTTTGTGTATATGTGTATGTGTGTGCGTATTAAATATTAAAAAATCAAAAGCACCGTTCAACATGTTTACGTAGATTAAGACTCCTGTTTACTTACCACTACTCAGATTTTGACGTTAGAAGCGAGAAAATACGTAATAAAAATTCTTGCAAAATATATTAATATGGTGATGAAAATATGTTTCAATAAAACAACACTTCCCTAGTAATACAATTTATTGGCACAATATTGACTTAATATTAGTTCAATACGTCCCCAATGCATCCCATATATTTAACTAATATTGCCAATAAATTGCTACTAGGATTACAATCGATAAAACTGACTTGTAAAATATATCAAAAATTCTCCTTTTTATTTCGTTAATTAATAAATGATCATATATCTGGAAATGAATTATGCATAACCAAAAACAAAATAAGCTATGTTTCACTGTTATCAAAAATTATCAAATTAAAACCATATAGAAATGAATATGATTTAATTTCTTCCTGAAACAAAAAGACACCCAGATAGACTTGTATGACGATCACGATATGCACAAATTAATTTACTGAAAATTTAGAACAATTTTATAATCATTTATGACATTATAAAAGCAAAAACGTTTATATTAAGGAAAATATAAAATTTAGGTTATTTGAATGATTAAATTTTTTGTTATAGAATTACAAAAACATATGTATGAAAATATATCTTCAGATCTATAATATTCGTTTTACGATATTGCTATATGAAATATTTACATCATACATAATTAAATGAACTACATCGTATAATGATGCACATTTGCAATTATCATGTGATGCTATAGAAAGCTTAAATAATTTTTAAATTTTTCTTCATTTTATGTCGCATGAAATAAGATAAATATACTGTAAAATTTGGGTAAACAAATGTCGATTTTGATATACCGAATTTTGTTGAAAGAATTCGTAATCCTGATGTGATGTCATAGTAAGCATAAATGATTTGTAAACTTTTACTTATTTCATGCCGCATAAAGTAAGATAAATATACTATAAAGTTTAAATAAACATGTCGATTATGAAAAATTCGCGCGAAAGTCCACAGAAATCACGCAGTGTGGCGTTGATTTTTCCATCGAAAGTTGCATGGTTTGAAGAGGGACACATGATGGAAATGTGGACTTGACCTTGAGTGACCTTGTCAAAATCAAGTTAAGGTCATTAATGTTTTTTTTCTTAAGTAGAATCCCTATTTTTTATTACATATTCTTGTAGCTAACCTCGAGAGCTTTCCAAAACACTATAATTAAATTCATTTTCATTAAGTTATATACTTTTCGAATTATAAAGGCTTGAAAATTACAGTACCGCCGGCATTAGCATTACCCAAGGTGTCCGACGGACGGCTAAAACCTCTTGTTGTTCAGAATCATGGATAACTTTGTTCCTGGATAAATTTGTCAAGATCAAGGTCATTGGAGGTTGTTTTTCTTATTTTCATTTTTGCACAAAAATTCATTTCTACGTAAAAATGAAAATAAGAGGTACAACCTCCAATAACCTTGATCAGACACCCGTATATAAACATGCATATTACATATATGATCAGTACGAATGACAAAATAAAATCCAATATATGTCAAATTTATAAGTGTTCAGACAAGCGTGCGATTAGCTCAGCGTTAGCGTAGGTAGGCTACCACCCCAAAGATTGTAGGTTCAAATCCCGTCGATACTCCATGCGTTTTCAAGAATATTTATAATTGCGTTATATAATTATAAGAATTTGTATGTACAGAAAAATAATTAATAAACTTAATAATTATTCCGAAAATAAAAAATAAAATCTAAAAAAATAAAAACAAATTAAATTATAATTAAATTTTTTTTTCGTTAAAATATACTCAGTAGACAAATGTACATATACTTTACAGCAACTTCACGTTTATCTTACAATCATCCAATGCTTCATAGACGAGCCGATTAAGATCCGAAATATTGCAGCAGCATTTAGTAAATCAGAAAACGAAATATCATGATGTGCAAATATGATGTAAATATGAGACACTAAGAATCAGATTTTTGTTTGTCATATTTACATCATATTTGCGTCATAGTATTTCATTTTCTGATTTACTAAATATGACTACAATATTTGGGGTCACAATCGCCTCACCTATTACGGATTTGATGATCGAATACAACGTAAAGTTGCAGTAAAATTTATGCGCATCTGTCTATCTGGGCAATTTTTTAATATATTTTATAGGTAAGTCTATTCAATTAATCACAAATATTATTTCATTGAAAAACATTTCTACTCAAATATAATTTGCAAACATTTTTATTACGTATTCTCTCGCTTCTAACGTCATAATCTTAAATAATACAATAGTTGTGAGTAAATAAAAGTCTTAGGGCTATAGCATACAAAATGTATAAACATAGCATAGCATAACATAAGCTCGTCTGGACTAATAAATATCCAACATAAAGTTTCCGTATTAATTTACATAACATGATCATTGGTCCAAACTGTCTTATGCTAGCTATGCTATGCTCATGAATTTTGTAAGCTTTAATTCTTAATTTTTAATTAGGTGATGCGCGTCTGAGCTCAGATATGGAATTTGACATAACAAATATAGAAAGGGTCGGTACACACACGCAGAGGCACGCGGCTCTTATTCACAGTGTCGTCGCCAAAACCAAAAAAGGTTAATGGCGAGAACAAAGAGGCGCGGTGTTGTATGATCTAGGGCCCGCGTCTATCGATCTTGGATCTACGGCGTCATCAAAGGTTCCGCGATACGGATTCTCTCGTATCGGCGCCGCGAAGACCGGCGGCTCTTTAGATCGCCGATCGTGGCTGATTTTGGGTTTTTCCGATAACAATCGGAGGGGGGCCGAGTCGCGATATTCGACGAGCAAGATCGTCCGGGTTTCATACGTTCGACGTCCGCAGTCGGGTACACATCGCACAATCTTTTTTTTCCGTAAGACAATACTTTTTATTTTCCTTTCCCACACTCAAAAAAGTGATCTTGCAATTACAGCGAAAATTATTTAAGTACGAAAAATAGCTGGAATAGATAAATTTCTAGCAGGTACTGCGATATTGAATATGTATTGCATCTAATCATATAGATGACAGAGATAGAATTTAGATTTGTGCTATAAATTCTATGCGTATGATACATAATTTTCTATCAGATACAAAAAACAGCTATAATTCTAGCTGGAGCAGCAAAATATTTTTTTGCGTGCAGAACAAAGTTTTAAAGAAAACTGTATCTAAAGTACTGTGTGGCTCCACCTACCCACTTAAAGATTAAGCAATAAATTGAAGTGCGATTTAACTTACATACATTTCCGCTTTATCGTTGCAGTTCTGGTCCGCGTATGTGCCCTGCTCGTCGCAGCATCTCGATTCGGTCCAGCTGGCCCTGGAACAGATTGATCTTATTCGCCGATTGGTCAACAAGCATGCGGACAGTATGGTCCTCGTTACCACAGCGGAAGGTTCGTATTTTCGTCCGCCCGTTTACGCGGAATGCAGCGATAAAATCAAGAATGCATAAGTTATTAGCGAAACGTTAAATCCATCACGGCCTGGGAATGAAAATTCACTCGGCGATACATTTGGCGAAATGCCAACATGATTCGACCTCAGTCTCGCTCGATACTTTCAAGCTTAGAATACTTTCGATTGAGTTCGCTCGGTCGGCACTTCGCCACTCAGAAAAATATGTGAACGACGTTCCGCAGAAGAACTTGTGAGAGCCATCAATTTAAAATGCTCCCTATTTTTCATCCAACGGGAAATTTATCCACCCCAAATTATAACGAATATTCCACTTAACCCTTTAATACCAGGCATATTACTTGATAATCCGAGTTTCACCCGGAGATTAATGTGCTGCTCGGCACTGGATCAGTCTTGCATAATTGCTCGCTATATCAATCTATTCTCCAATAGACCCCGGCTAATGTTTAAAGTTATAGAGACAAAATCCACATTGGATCTTCCCCTTATCCGTACAAACAGATTTTTAGATTCATTGTATGAAATTTTTTTCTCAGCCGTTATCCGCATCCGCACTCGGCGCCGACCTTTCCCTGTAATCTCCATGTCTCGCATGTTTCGCATGCTGATGGATATTCACAAAAATAAAAATATAATTTAAAATGTCGGCCTTGGAAATGTGTCGTCTGCAGCACGTGTTCGCTACGTCCCGGAGCGTCTGGAACCGAGCGAATCGCTACAGCATTAAATTTTCATTGTCGAATCGTGTTACCTATTTCCCGCGAGTTCTCGACATATTCGAGATCCCTCGACATTCGGAGGTAAGCCAGAATCGTCATTTTCCATCCCACGCTTCATTCTCGCATCCCTCCATCATCTTCGCTACGTGTTCTTTCTCTCAAAAATTTAGGATGCACTTTAGACCATGTGGAAGAAGTGCGATCCGGGAAACGAGCAATCGCTTTTCCAATGTAAGAAGCATCTTTCGACCTCGTCGAATCCATTTCAGAACTATCCGCCGATGAACAGTTGAGTTTTCCAGGTGCGATGTTCCCCTAAAAGATTGGAAAAAAAAACGAGAATGTAATAAGATCGATCCCAGGGAAAAATGTTTTTCTCGTATCGATTCTCTTTTATTTTTAAAAGCAAAATTTTCACATAAAGGATCGAATCTCTTACGCAGCACGGAACAAATTTATTGATGCCATAAAAAAATCTGATGATGTGGTCAAATACATTCGTATTGATAAAAATATAGTGTACTATTTGGTGCGTTCCGAAAATCACATTTATACGATAAATTTTGTACGCCACTTTGTTCCATATTCGTTACTGCCGCTTTGCAACAACAAATTGTTACAGCCACTGGACTTGTCATGTTTTCATTTCATATTTGTCTTTTAAAAGACTTGAATTAAATAAGAATAATATGTACTAGCTCCTCTTTTTTAAAAACTAAAAGGATATTGATCCATTGAAATTTCGATAAAAATCGAAAAGAGATAATTAGAAAAAATTAAAAATCAAAGTATTTTAAATAAAGTATTTTAAAATAGATTAGGATGTGTTTTAGACGTATTCTTATTTTATAGAGTTTTGTAAATGTTTGCAAGTATGTCGTATTTGTCTCATAGGCTTTCTGTAATAAGCCATTAACTTTAAGCTTTAAGTTTTAAGCCGTAAGAAATTGACCAATTATAATCGATTATTTTCACATGTGATTCGATCAATTACTTACGGCTTAAGATTTAAAGCTTAAAGTAGAAATTGTCACTCTTGTGCTAATTTCGTGATATCTCCATATAATTTAATAAAAAAAATCGTTCTTCCCTTTAAAGATATTTTTATTATTACATTTATTCCTGCAGTCATTATAATCATAATGTTTTGAAATAAATATTATCATAAACATAAGATTTTGATAGATTTGTCTTCAAACATGCAAAAATCGGAAAAGAAGAAAAGAAAAGTCGATGATAACGACAATTACAACGCGATGAATTTGCGACATTGAAAAAATAAGAAAAAATGAACAGAATTCTGGTAAATAACGTCGCTTTATCGATTGACAAATATTTGTCGTATGTATTTCTAAGAAAAGATGGATATTCGCGAGACGGATATATTACAGAGACGGTTTTATCAAGTTTAATATTACGGGAAATAGTCATTATGCTTTTGTTTCTCTGCAAGCATTATATAAATAGAAGTTATAGTCTCGAGACAATCGAATGAATATTTCAATCAGACGCGAAATTAAGCGATATCGATGAGAATTGTATTAAACGTTTTATGATATTTATTCAATGAAACCTTTGATAGAGTTATTCGAAGAAGTTTGAAACGGAAGAGATTAAAGCAAATTTGGCTGAATATATAACAGATTGGGGATTATCTTGTATAGAAAATTCCGTGCATATTCCTGCATTCTGACAGAATATATCGAATTCTTTTTTATTTATAAACGTAAAGTTTCTGTTATAGCTTTTCACCGCCTCAATTGCTATTAGCTCTATTCGACTTGCTTACACTTTTTTACACGTTTTACACTTAAAATGAGATAGATATATATTTGGCGCTGAAAAGAGAGAAAACGAAGATGGTGAATGTAAAAAGTGTAAGCAAGTCGAACAGACCAATTGTTTCTTTTTTAACGTTCCGTCGCTTAAAGAAACCCCTATCATTTCTTCCCCCCCCCCCCTCCCGCAGTGATTTTTAATGTGTCTTATTTTGCGAGGATGTACGCGTCGGACGAATTCCTAGAAAATTTCCTATATTTGGTGAGCAAATATTTGCTGCTGGATTTCGCCGTCCCGCTGTCACAATGCGCGCTGTCTAAGCGTAACGCAAATCCGATGGGAAGATGATGGAACACGAGGAAGATGCGCCGGATGGTAAATTCCAACTGGAATGGAAAAATGTCGGTCCGGCGCTACCGACCGACGTACTCCGTTCGATAACCCCGAATGTCGACGACTGCATGTCGCCGTGCACATCCATATGCAAATGAACATAAAATACGCATATGTACGTTCATACATACGGACAGCTGATTGTACGAAACCGACAGCCCGTTCCCGCGTCCCCTCCACGTGTCACGGGAACTTTTTTGCCGCTGATTAAAAAGGCCAAAGTATCTCGGAGAATGTAAACGCTCGTTGTAATTCCGACATACGTTGTTTCGCATTTTCGCGTGATATTTTCGAGTGTCGAATCCACCTCGGCGAGTGACATTTTTGAGGAAAACAATTTCGCACAGTATTCGCTAGTGTATCTGTCTCGAAAAAAGTCACGTTTAATTTTCGGAGTTACATTTACGTCCCCTACCGCATTTTTCCTTCGACACGTAGTAGGTATAAAGAAAATCACATACTTTGCCTTATGCGCGCAATCCGTTCTCGATTCATATTTCTCGAAGCATTGTCTCCGCTTGTACTCGCAGTACATTTACGCGAGCGTTGATAGAAAGACAAACGATCGTACGTCACCGTAAAGCAAACCGCGTGCTCGTCTTTTTAAAAATATGCAAATTTCATGCACGTTACACATCACGGTGGTGCACTATCTCTCCCGTCTGGCAAAAGGGGGTTTCGCGCGAAGAGAGCTCGCAAGCGAGAAAGTACAAAATATAGCACTTTGGGGAAGCAATCTGCCAGATGGAAGAAAAGGCTCCTGTAGAACGCGGAAGATGAGAAATTCCAGGAGGAATGGAAGAATGTTCTAAAACCATGGAGCTCGCCGTAGCTCCTCCGATAATGTCGAAATGCTAGTCTTGGTATATACGTGAGCGCGAGCACGTATAACATACATTCGCATGCACTTTGTGCGAGATATATGTGCATACGTACGTGCAGGGACACCCCGAACCGATACACTCGTAGGATCAAATGTATCAGCGTTACGTGCGGGCGGGTGCAAAAGTATAAATCGCAAGCCGCACTAAATCAGGTGACCATCGACAGGACGCGTTTTATTCGCGTCACTCTTTTTTCGTCCGTTCGTCCATTAGAGAAGCCGTAATACAACGTAATCGTCGGCCACGTCAACGGGAAAAATTAAAGCCGCGACAAATGACATTCGCTTGTGACGCATGCAATTTATTTCGAAAATGCAGTCTGAAGAAATGCGTTGTTAAGCTTTCCGCTGTTAAAAAGTTGAAGAAAGGAATTCGTTGAGAGCTGAAGGAGGCAAAGTTAAAGCGATCTTAAATACACGGAAAGAATGATTTTGCTAAAGTATCTAAACACTTAGTTAGATATACATCTAAAAATAATTTTGTTGGACTATCAAATTATATAAAACTCATTGTTTATTAGAATGTCGAAATTTTGTACAGCATTATCATTAACATTTAAGGATGTATCATATACATTTTTAATAAAATGAAACCATTATGAATAGATTTTTCTATATTATTACCTTAATTAAAAAAGTAACACAACTCAAAAAGTGTGATTTTCAAATTACTATCATAAATGAGTTAGGTAAAGATTAGTCTATCAATCATCAAAAGTAAACTAATTTAACTTCACAGTCTGTTTGTCAAATAGCACTTGTGTCACATTCTTAAGACTTTTAAAGAGATCGTAATATTTTCTATAAGAGTAACAAATGTGTCGTTTTTGTAGATAAGAAAGAGAGTTTTTAACAGAGAACATTTTAAAACACTTTTGGTGATTAAAGTTTAAAAAAATTATTTTATTTTGAATGTAATTATTTTAACCGATCACATACAAGGTAAATATAAATAGCTTTGATATTTCGAATTATATCACTTTTGATAAATTATTCCAGATTTGTTATAATTTTGTAGGATATCAAAATCATCACAATTCGAAAAGGATGATTTTTCAAAGGTTGTGAAAGGAAAATGACAAAAACGATATTTGATCATGTTTCTAAGAGTATATTCTTTTTGCCAACATTACTTGATAGTCAATAATTTTTTGTTGAATTGAATAAGTATAGGCTTTCTTTTTTCTCTAGAAAACTTAATTGTTTTAATTACGTCATTATTAAAGTAAGCATATGATATTGTATTTGAAATTAATATAAAAAGTATAGTAGCAAATAAAAAAATCTGAATAAAAAATCCAAATTAAAAAATTTAGATAAAAAAATTATTTCCATAAGAAGTAAACATATTTTTAAAAAATAATTAAAATGAAATGAGAAAATTTTTATTTGAACTGTAATATTGACCTTATTTATAATATTTATTTCGTATGTATGTAACATTTATTATTATATGAAAAGTATGAATATTCGAGTCATTTTTCATAAAGACTCTACGTCCTTAAGCGTTCTATATATTTATTTTAACAGTTTAATGAAATTCTTTTCAGATATGAATCTAGTTAAATTTTTAGACATTTCAATAATAAAACCGTTTTTTCTGTGTAGACACGTCAAAAGTTTTCGTATTGAAAGATGGCTTCCACGATTTGTCGTCCTAAAAACGGGATTATACATTTAAAAAGTATGCAAATTCTAGTACAGGCACTCTCCTACTTACAAACTTTCGTTTCACAAACTTTCGCAAGTACGAAGAAAATTATAATTCGTCAATGCCAGCGCTGTGAGGGTCGCTCGCATAAAAAAGAAAGTAGACCAATTTAATCTTTAAAAGAATAGTGCTGGTTTTTTAATTTTGTACGTGTATTTTTTTTTAATTTAAGTAGAATAGTCATTTTGAGTTACAAAAGACTGTAAAATTGACGTGTCCTAAAATCATAAAACTAAATTTATCTCCGAAAACGTTTATCCTATGCAAAAGCCCTATCTGCATGAGCTTCAATTATCGATCGTTCGACCGGTACGCGAGTATAGGCACGTTGAACGTATTAAAAATATACACCGGTATATATCGTAACGATGCAGCGCGGGTATTATGTATTCCGGTTACTGCTTTTGTGATATTACCTCGCTGCGGAACGATATTTTTAGAAGCGCGATAATCCGCCGTTGGCGTCAAGTGTATTACTTCCACCTAGCTGCCGTGAATTCTTTGTAATTGGATGATAAATTACACCGCTTACTTTTTTCCCCCTTTTATCGAACTCGTCCGTAAAGCCACCGTAAGCCGACGCCGGAGTATCGCAAGCAACCATTAAGAATTCGCATGGGACAACGTTATAAATATATATATCGTAATCATATATGTGCAATTTTACGCAAACGTATTGACAGCGAGACACCTCGCGAACCTTCTCCCTCCCAATGTGTGTCCAACGAGTACTTTAATCAAATCCGCAAAACGCAGACCGCAAAATTGGATTCCCAGATATACCGCCGACCAGATCTCGCGCCGTCCAATTCGATTAAGCGATTAAACGTCGCAGATCGAATTCGCGGAACGCTGACAAAATGCCCGATTACCTGATTAAGAGCTCCGATTCCGCAAGCCGAGCTTTTCTTCGATCGGCTCGGATTTCAGGCTTTGGACGTCGTGCACCGCGCCGGGGTTAATTAACTTTTATTTACACTTTGTAATTAACGATCGTCGCGATGAGACATTCCTGATAATCACGGGCAATTTGAAAGATTTAATTAATCCGAAGATCGGAGACGCCGGATAAGCTCATTTAATTATGATCCATGTGCATCGCGCATTGTGCACATCGTAATTGAATTCTGCACTCGCCTTGTTCACGCTGAAATTATGCAAGACAAAAAGGGATTGTGAAAAAGATATTGCGTTTATAACTGAAGCATTTTTCTCTGATGAAATTTTTGTTTCAGACGTAATTCCGGTATATAAGTACATACGTCCGTCGGGAGCGCTGTTTCCGGCGCGACTTTGTCGTTGTTTTCCAATGTCGTGCAAAGAGAATTTGCAAACTTCGCAGATCCACTTACCATCGGTATTACTTATCGGAGGTACGGTCGGAACTTCGTAACAACGTTCCAGCCGTTATTAGATTCACGTGTCACTCGCGTTACGTGCGAAAGCTCGCGAGAGCGAGATTATTCTGCCGAGAGAAAAGTTAATGGACAACGCGCAAATCTGGACGGGACCGAAACATAGAGAGCGTTCTCGTTTATGTTGTTCCTTCGTAATGTTAAACAGCAGCTAGAGTTAAAAGTGCATTGCATGCGAGGTTTATCTGTTTGAAACACATATCCGACACATTCATCCCCGAGTTATCGGGCTCTCATGATACAAATCCAACGTCTCATCTGAGCAAGGGTCCGCAATGTGATGAGACTCTAGATTCACGCTGTGAATAACGACGACAGGAAGGAAAGGATACATGAAATAAGTTATAATGTATGGTTACAGGTATCGAGAGAGCGCACAAAGAGGCTAGATTAGCAAGCCTGATAGGAGTCGAAGGGGGCCATGCTGTCGGAGCGAGTCTGGCGGTCCTGAGGATGCTGTACGAGTTGGGCGCCAGATATCTCACCCTCACGCACACGTGTAACACGCCTTGGTGAGTGTGCCAGCGCAGAAATAAGAATGTCGACGATCAAGCTCTAAAGCGGTGCACAATACGAGAAGCGAGTATAACGCGTTACGTTAACCCATTATACTTGTGTCACGCAAGCTGCAATTTCCTGAGAGGTTCTCACCATTATACGTATACAAACTCAAGCTCTAAACCAGATTCCAAATCATTTCGCTTAAATCAAAGCGTTAAGAGCGGTAAACGCAATCGGATTGATCTTTCAGAGCTGACAGCAAAATCTATCTAATCTTTATGTAATTTGTTCCCTTACATTAAAAGTGACAATTCGAAAAATTAGTTTTTCGGAAAAGAGGAAAAATTATTTTTCAATTTGATAAAAAATTGTTGACTAACCAAATAATTGACAAAAAAAAATAGACTTTTAGAAATGTCAAATGTCGTTTTTATACCATTTTCGTTTCACAATCCTTGAAAAAATTACTCCTTTTAAGTTATGATTTTGATATCCTACAAAATTATAACAAGTTTGAAATAATTCATTAAAAATGACATAACTTAAAATATCAAAACAGTCAGTATTTAGCTTGATCAGCTAAAATGATTAAATTTAAAAAAAAACAATTTCTTCTTCAAACTTTGATTGCTAAAACTATCTTAATTCTAAACGTTTTATATATATGTAGAAGATTCTCCTATTTATTTACAAAAACAAATTAACTCAAAATTTGTCACTTTTGTAAAAAGTATAAGCTCTTTAAAAATTTTAAGAATGATTAGTACCATTTGGTGAAGTTAAATTAGTTCATTTTTTATAATAAAGTAATTTCTATCTAACTCATTCAAGGTAATATCTCACATTTTTAAATTGTGTTTGTTTTGAAGTAACGGAACGAGTTAATGCTGAGTCTTAACTCATTTAATTTATGTTAAAAAAATATCTACTAATTAATTTTCAAGAAACTAAAATAATATAACTCATATAAAAAAGAATGAATACTAAATATATTTTAATAAAAACAATTCAAATTGCAGATGTAATCTAAAAAAATTGAACTGTTTGACATTTTTTTATTGAAAGAAATTTATAATTGAGTGGATCCAATAAACCTGTCGCAAGCTCTGGAAGATTAAGACGAAAGATTGTTATTCACATGATGACTTTCAAGCCAAAACTGAAGTTTGAATACGTTTCATTTTTTCAAATCGGGAAGCTTTGTAATAATTTATTACGCTTACTAGAGATTGAGAGATCTAAACGCAGCATTCATGTAATCGACGAGCGAAAAAGAGTTAACGATGAAAATGTAAATAATTTACAACGAATCCGCCTCGTCCGGATCAAAAATTGAAATAAAAATATATTACCCGATTCGCGTTGATGCGTGAATAGTGATTATAGTATAGAATTTTACCGTCCGGCTGCTGAAAATGAAGCCGTATAATAACATCGGTCGTCGCGGCAGATGCAATCACCGGTGCCTTTGCAGGTAGGACTTTTCATCCCCATTGCCTAGAGCGAAACACCCGGTCGACGGTAGTCCCGGTCGACGGTAATTCCAAGCCGTACAGTTTCGTTCATTTCTCGTGCATTAAAAGCTATCGCTTTGAACGCGAGCAGTAAAACGTTTAACGTAAACGGATTAAAGTTCCTATAATAGTTCGCGCGCGGACCGTAAGAGATCAACGGCATAACGACCGCGGTGCGTTTGTGCAGTAAGTAATCCGCAAAATTCACGGACTAGCTTTAGCTAGTTTTACGGTATTACCTGGTATGGCCTTTCAAAGCCACGGCCGCATTGAAAAAAACGATAATTGCAGTGTCGAAGAATCGGTTATACAGGCCTATTTCGTGGATTATACTTTCTATATTTTTATACTTCAAAACATTTCGTAAAATTTTAATTTCCGTAAAGTCAACTAAGTGATTAGACAATATTGCACTTAAATCGGTCATTTTACCGTTAGAAAAAATTTCAAAATCCTTGGATGCATTCTGTACTATGGATCATTGAGCAAAATTGGCAAAAAAAGAGATTAATATGTTTATTTATTATAATATTCGTAATATAAAATAGAGATAAGTTATTTTACATTACGAATATTATAATAAATAAACATATTAATCTCTTTTTTGCCAATTTTTGCTCAGAGAGTGCTCAGTAAGCAGTTTGTATGCACCCCTTATTTCTTAGAAAACACGAAAAACCTGCGTGGTAGTATTAATTCATCAGAAATACGTATATTCAATTACTATTACATTTTATTTACTTTTATATTAATAGCCAAAAAAACTTATTTAGCACTCAAATGTGTATCTATATCTACATAAAAACAAATGATACATATTCTTCGGACCAAAAGTTTGGAAACACTTCAAAAATTGACACATTCTTGGAGTTACTTATTTAAATATCCATATAACAATGTGTTTAAATAATAATTCTGTACGTTCAAAAACTGTTATTGAATTTGAAGAATTATTGTTAAAAAACATATTACATTAATACATAAAATGTGGTGAACCCAAAAAATGACTATAAAACATAGATAAATTACAATAATTGTAACTATTTTTATAGTAATAATAACTATAATTTATTGTCATTTACAGTGCCAAATATATATATATCTTTTTTTTATAAAATTTACATATAGTTGATATCAGTAATATTATAGCATAATAACTAGGACTGAATTTGCTTTGAAAGCTTTGACATTTGAACTTCGAGGCTTCACGATTCGAAGTTTCAACATTAATATTCTTCGAAGATCAAAATATCGAAGAATCAAAATTATGAAATTATTAATATAATACATATAATTAATAATAAATACATTTTCATAAAAAATATATAAATTTGTGAATAGAAAACTATATTTATAAATATATATTACGAATATATTTCTATTTTTTTCTATTCGCACAAATATATTTTTCGAAGCTTCAAAGCTTCGAAGGCACCTTAAACTTCTACAGTTTCCAAGTTAACTTTAAAAACTCAAATTCTTTTAAAACTTCCAATCTTCAAAGTTGTCAAAAGTAACAGTCCTATAAAGTAATAACCACATTTATGGTAACATGTAATTACAGTCACAAATACGAAAAATTTCTCACAAGTAATTACCCAACTGTTACTCACTAATCTGGATGAAACTATGCACACTTGTTTAACATTGAAAAATATTGAACCCGTATTTTTTTATTTTTCCCCGAAATGAATATTTTAAGGATTGAAAATATTCCTCAACCACCCCCAAGAATGAATTTTAGATGAATATTTTCAATATTTATTAGTTCAGAATTCACTGGCACAAGGTTTATATACATATTTATTGGAGCCGTACCACTTCATTAAATCCTAATTTTCATCTTATTTTTGCTGTTTTTTTAAGTTAGTATAGAAAAAATCAACCTGACTTTGACACACATTTGATCTCCAAGATCAAGGTAAGGACATCATTACATCTTCATCAACTCTGTAACTTTCGTCGGAAACATATTTCGTTGCCACCTGTATGCTCGGAGTAATTCTCGTGGCGAGATAACATATTTTTGGGGGTGGTTGAGAGGTGGTTTCAACCCTTAAAATTCATTTTGAGGAAAAATAGAAAAACACTGGTTCAATATTTTTCAATGTTAAACAAAAATGTGCATAGTGTCATCCAGATTGATGAGTGACAGTTGAGTAGTGTTACATGTCAGTGTATGAATATTTGATACAGTAATATCAAAAATATCAATTTTTAAAAAGTGTTTCTAAACTGTTCTGGAGAGTATAACAAAAAGGGAAAAAATATATATATTTCAATATTTTTTACGAATAAAGTTCTTCTTTAAAATTTAATTACGATGTTACCAGCTCTTGATAGAGTTACTCAGAGCAATCTTTTTTTACCGCACGTCGAGCTATTTAGAGAAAATATCAAACGGGAACGTAGGATTATGTGAAGATCGCAGGTTAAATTGTACGGCCCAGCTGGTGCCGCAGCAGACGGAGCTTCGAAATATTGCGACAAACAATGGCCGAAGCGACGGTAAACTTTTACGAGACGTCTTCTCGACGGCTGCAAGACGAACGCGACAGAAAGCTTTTCGACTGATGTATCGCGAGGGTATCGCGCATTCCGACACGTCGTTCTTCTATGAGCGGGATGAGCTCTGATCGATCTGTCCCTCCCAGTTTCGGCTTCCGATTTTATGGCACCGTGCTCTGTTTTACGACGTCGCGATGAAGAATTGCTGCTCTATTATAGATAAATTTTGATGCTTCTACCGCGTTACCGCGTTTATGGTTGGAATGGATTTATATTTATCTTCCAAACACTCTTTTTGCCATCTCATAAAATTTTTTTTTTTTTTTTTTTCAATAAAGGTTTTTATCAAAACCAACACTACACGAATTTCAGGATTTTGAAATTTTTGCGTCAATTCCCTTGCAATTCAATATTGTTATTTAAAGATTACGTCCAGATTAAACTCACTAATTTTCGCATTTTACTCAATTGGGCAACATGTTCATTATACGTTTAGTTTGAAATTATCCAAATTAAGGGTAATTCACGAAGGGTAATTTAAACAAGGTACGTTTATTTAAAATGTCGTGTTTTACAACATTCTCAATATTTTCGTGTAACCAAGAATAAAAGAGAATTTCTGGCTATTTCGTCGAATAATACTTCATTATTACGCGACGTATAATGAGGGACACGCAAAACGGCTATCAACTCGTTCAGCTCCATCCTAGAAGCATATTTAATGGGATTCTAAAGTCGTTGATTTTACCGATTATTTTTCAAACAAGTATTTTCCTAACTGCCTTTATATACAGATTTAAAAATCCTTTTCCGTAGTTAAAATCTAAACGATAATGTATTCCAAACCAGTCGACTTTATGCCAAAAACAAAAAAAATTGAAAAATTATAATTTGTTTCGCCTTCTCTCTGGCATCATTTTGTAACAATATTTACTTTATGTATAAAAGTTTCGTACTTCAGATATACATACAAAACAATTTTGTTTTAGACTAGGGATTACATGAAGAAACAATATAGAGCTTTTAGAATTAAGCTTAGATACCTAATATGAAAAATTAATTAGTTATAAAATTTGTACGTATAATTTGTACCTGCGATATTGCTGTAGTAGTATGGTGATGTGTCAAATGACACGTAAATCGTATAGGTTTTACTGATGCCTCTTTCTATCAATAGATTAACTGTAACCTCTTCAGATTTAATTTTTTTTATTATATTAAAAAAGTTCTTTTTAATTCAATTTATGCGCACTTTGATGAGTAATTCATACTAAACAATTAATTTTTTTCAAAATTTTGACTATTTCTCCAACATTATTATGTACATCAGATTTCAAATGGTCTATAGAATTAAATAATTTCAACGGATAATGTCTTCAAATTTGATGTATGTTATACGTTAAAATGTACGTAGGGGGGGGTCTAAAGAGGTTAATCTCGGTTCAACTTATTCTTCGTTTTTTCCTAATTCTTAAAATTGGAAAAAGATAAAGACTTAGTTGAAACAAGATTAAAATTAAACTATATTGATAGAAATTGATAGAATTAAACTACATTGGGCATGAATCGGTAAAACAGACGACTTTAGGATTCCCTTAACCCGGCCTAAGAAAAATGTCACGCGAAAATACGCGCGAAGCCACATCAATAAAAGTCGTCAACAATAGGAGTATTGCCGAGAGCGATTTATTTCCGCGACGGCCGTTATATTTCATGCATCCCTGCTTTGCTCATCCGTTGCTTTGCAATTAAATCTCGCGTGTAACATGATAAATCCCGCCCGGATTAATGTATATTGTAGCAATATTATACGCGTCCGTCGAACAACCGGCATTTCACGATAGATAGGGCGATTACGACGCACGGTCAAACAAAAATGCAGCTGGTTGCTGCTGTCGCGCCTCTCCAGGCGGGCGACCATAAATCCGCGAAATCGCGTTTACGCAGTGCGACAGGTGCCCGATCGTTGAGTCCCACGTGATTAAGTTCGATACGGCAGAACGTTCGACGACGGCGCCGTGTACAGCTTCGAATTGGCCACTCGAACTGAATGAGAGGAAAAGCCACGACGCGACGTTTAATGGCGCGTGTCCGCCGTCGTCGTCGTCGTTTGCAATTAAATCCGGCGATGTGGCTAAAACTTGTAGCCACGACTCCCGAGTCGAGTCGAAGGATAGTGCAATGCGACGGCCGATTATGGGCTCGGTTATCGATTATCGCTACCATTATTGCCACCGCATCATTGCTCCATTCGTGACGGCTTTAGGGGATACGCCGCTAATGCGCACGATTGTCAGCGTGGTATTACCTCGAGTCCTCGAGCTGACGCCTAAAGCACGTCGTACGTCTAGCATAATCCCCATCTACATAAGATATTTAACTCTCCTCCGCCTGTACACTCTGCCGACAGTTGTTATCGCGATTAGTCGCGCGCCCCGGGAGAATTGGGATGGCGTAATGTGATATGTGACTAAAAGACATGTGTAAGTGTACTGAAGAAAATGACTTCTAGGGAGAACATTAGGAAAATCTATTTCTCTCGGCGTTAACATTACAGTCGGTCGTTTTCTTTCGCATAAAAACCACCCAATTCAACGGGACGTAAAATTTACTTGCGCGTTACATCACAGAATCCAATTACCAATACATCATGCTGCACAAAAATACATTTGTCGCGCGATTCTATCAATGATCCATACAGAAATGTTCGTAATTATTCCAAGATAAAATCACAAAAATTGAGAATTAAGAGAAACATTTCAGATAGTATATATCGATTTTTTTATAAAACAAGATTAAGTTGTTATAAAATTATACTAAAAAAATTAATTTATTATTATTTGTTTGAATAGTTCTAAGTAAGTATTTACTAAATGTAAACATATATTTATTTGATATAAGAATTATTAATTTTTGATTTAATTATCATTTTTTTATTAAGTAAATACATTTACTTACTATAAATAAATGTTAGTATTATTTTAAAAAATATGTATGAAGATTTATTAATTTTTTTCAAGTATATAAATTATTCAGTGTTCTCTTAAGCTTATTCTGCTTAAAAAACGTAAAAAACCCGAAATAGACAGTGATATTTTTATACAGTAACGTAGCTGCCTATTTACATGATAATTTCTCTATTTTGTCAAATAAAAATTTAAAAGTTGATGATATTAATAATGAGACTTAAGTTCACTTCAAAAGCATTTATCAGATCTAATGAACGCTATTGTGCAATGTACATTTAATGAAGTTGCGTACTAGAATATTCCCGAGATCATTCGGAATAGAAACAAGTTAGTTGTGGTATGATTACGAACTAGCCATTGTGGCTCACCGCGAGCTGCTGTCCTGTGAATAATACTATTGTCGTTATCGTTACGGGTGCGTGTGGAGACCTGTGATTAGAGAGAATTCTATCGCCATAACATTCACAATTGTAACTACTGAGTTACTGACCTGTTGGTTCGTTAGGGCAGACTGCAGCACGGCGGATGAACCCGGTCAAGTGCCTCAAATCGGTGGTCTCTCGAATTTCGGCAAGGTGAGTACAATATAAAGTATTTTACAAATTTATAAACATTACTTCAATATACGTTGCAGTTGGCATTCTCTTATATTTGCAATGAGATTCACTCCTTTACTCTAAAAGTTATACAATTTAAAAAAATTGAGTTTCTCAAAAAAATAAAAAAACTATTTTTCAACTTGATATAAAATTATTAATTAATCAAATAATACCAAAAAGAATATATTCTTAACACGATCAAATGTATTATTTTTGTTATTTTTAATTTCACAATCCTTAAAAAAATTATCCTTTTCGAATTGTGACGATTTTTATGAAGTTAGTTTTATGAAGTTAGTTCTCTTTTGGTCACTGAGGCATGGTTTTTCGGTGTGGTTAGACTTAACTTGATGGAAAAATTGAATTTTTCTAACTAAGGTCATTTAAAATTATCTACAAAACCATCAGTTCAGTTGTATTTCTCTAACTATGATTAATCATTAACTATGATTAATCATAGTTACACTGAAAAAAATACATGTAATTTTACATGGAAATTACATGTTCATGACTGGAAAATTGTCTAAATATGATTGGAAATTTACAATTTCCAGTAAATT